ATAGCAAAAAGCTTCAGTGGTGGAACAGATGCTTCACCTACTGAAGATGTTCATTCATTAATATTGCCATTCAAAGGATCGCAACTAGTGGCAGGATATTAAGAAGCTGCTGCCAGTACTAGAAAGTATTAAGTGGGAAGAATCAAGGCTTTGTCTCCATATGTATATGGCAGTTTCATAGGTTTATAATATCATCCAGAGCCACACCAGGATATTTGGATAACAAATGTCATTCCCCATAGCAATTCAAGTCAAAGTACATAGTACCTAGTGCCAGCCATTCCACATGAGGCAGACAATCTCCTAAGTGCCTTTCCAATTCCCATCATTACTGAACACTGTTCATGTTGTTTGTGGAGTTCATAGGAATCAGCTGAATGATAGCTTCCCTTCCACTGGCATAGATCAACAAAAGATTGGATACTCATATTTTGCTTACCGTTCGAGGCCTTCCCCCAAAGATCTTCCCTTTCTTCAGCAGAACTTCTTTGGCATGGAGATAGCTGTTCACCACCACCACATAATCAGAGCCCATGTAGAGAGAGAAGAGACTGCCATACTTCTTCTGCAGTCTGAAGAATAGAAGGTGAAGCTGGGTGTTTCCCAGAAAACATAATAGGCTCCCAATGAGTGGTAAGGAGGGAAGGCTCTTGGGGTAGTTGCGCTTGCGTTTCAGCTTCACTTTGGCCATCCTAGGGAAGGCCAGGAAGGCCAGCATCAGAAAAAAGAGAACCAAGAGAACCACCATTGTTTCTCTGTTGACTTGAAGCTTGGTCTGAGCACCAAGAACAAGAAGTCAGAGAAAGCAATCATCTTGCAACAGCAAATCTTTGGGTTCTTATAGGGGCTAGTATTGACGTCACCTTGCCTTGGGCTTCCTTCTTGCCTTGTTAATTAATTGCCAGGAGATAACTGTAATCTGCTGCTCAAACTCAGCCTTGCCTTTCGTCAAACCTCAACATTTTTTAGCAATTCTGAGCCAAAAAAAAAAAAATCAAAGATGAGCATCCCTTTGGGAAACTGAGTTAAAGGCTATTCATTTGCTTGTACTAAAGTTTACAATCCACTTTTTCACCCTAAACAAGGCCCTTGTTATCTGCTCTTGGATAGCACTGTAAATCAAGGACTATAGGAATGAATGCTGATTCAAGCCAGGTGGGAGCATCAGGGACTTTGACGGTGCTGTCCTTTCTCCAGATGAATTCTTTCTCACACATGTTACAAGCACTGGCAACTGTTCTGGTCTATCAGGCTTCAGCACAGGGAGAAAAGGAAAGCAGGCAGGGCTAATGTCAAGTTCCTTGGGACCTTTGGTAGTCCCTTTCCTACTGTGAAGTCCCCTACTCTCTGTTCACCAAGGTCACATCAGAATTGCATCAGAACACCTAAGTGATGGAGCCTCAACCGTCATTGCTTCCTTTTCACTCACTTCACTTTTCCTTTCTCTAGGTGGAACCAGTGAAGTCTCTTTCCCAGGTGGAAGGTAGCTATCTTGGAAAAGTTCCTTCTTTGACTACAGTTCCCAGAATTCACACCAAGCAGCATGGTCAGTGAGTGTACTGGCCGGGTGATTCTGGCAGATATACACAGTGGTGGCCAGTTGCTACCACATCAGGGATGCAGTGAATGCACTGTTGTTGTGTACTTTTAAATCATTTCTGACTTATGGCGATCCTAAGGTGAACCTGTCATGGGGTTTTCTTGACAAGTTTGTTCAGAGGGGTTTTGCTTTTGCCTTCCTCTGAGGCTGAGTGTGATTTGTCCAAGGCCACCCAGTAGATTTTCATGGCCAAGCAGGGATTTGAACTCTGATCTTCAGTGTTGTAGTCCAACACTCAAACTACTACACCATGCTGGCTCTTATTTTATTCTAGACTTTAAAGGAGGTGTCCAAAGTGCTGAACAGCTTAGTGAGGAATTTGAACGTGGGTTTCTCCATCCTAGCAGAACACACCTGTATTATGATGGCTGATTTGCACAACTGCTATTCCTGTAGAGAAAATTTGCTGTCACTGTTCATACTGAGTGGCCTGTGTGCAAATAATGATTTAATCCTAATGGGAGGACCTTGCAGAATGAAATTGGATGAGCTGGTTCCAGGCAGTTGCTGCCTAGGTGCACTTAACTGAAAGGAAGCTCCACTGAAATCTGAAACTTATGTCTAAGGAAATATGCATAGAATCTGGATAGAAGATAAGGTGAGGTGAACATATAGCTTCTGGATGTTTTTGGAGATTACATTTGTCATCAGCCTTAGCCAGAAGCCCAGCAAAGCCAGTGGTGATATTCAGCAATATTTAGAGCTAACATACAGTAGTTGAAGTACTGGATTGCAATTCTGAGAGACCAGGGTTCAAATCCCTGCTCATTCATGAAAACCCACTGGGTGACTTTGAGCAAATCATACTCTTTCAGTCTCAGAGGAAGGCAATGGCAAACCTCCTCTGAATAAACCTTGCCAAGAAAATGCCTTAAGTTGGAGTCAGACTGAAAGCACATAACAATTTACAGCCCTTCTGTAAGCATGCACACACACACACTTTTGGATTCTAGCATTTTGTGTTGAAAATGTTACCATTCTCTATAGACCTGCTTTGTTCAATACTTCTCTTCCGTATGCTGATTTCATTGCTAGTTTTAGATGGTTAGTGTTTCTCAGCATTACATCACTAAATGATGTTTGTGCAAACATGCACATCAATATTTGAAAGAATCTGCTAAGCCAGCCATAAATGTTAAGAGACATGTTGTCCTACAAGGCTGTTCCTTTAGTACATAAGGGTGGAGGTAGGGACTCTTGGCTCAGTCAGCAGTTTCTTCGAGAGTAAGTAGTGTGGACGATCATCCAGGGACTGCTGTGGATCCATCAACTATTTCCTGGATGTTATGTACACAAACACAACTGTTCCTGAAAACACAATGTACCAAGAAACATGCAAGGGTAGCTCTGTTGGCTGTTTAGCAAATTCAAACAAAAATCCACCAAACAGTGATACCTTTATTGCCCAACCAAAATGTACAATATACTTGTTGCAAGCTTTTGAAGCTCCACAGGCTTCTTCATCAGGCAACATGTTACCAATAATAATAATAATAATAATAATAATAATAATAATAATAATAATAATAATAATTATTATTATAATAAATTAAAAAATGGAGATGTTAGTCAGATGCCTGCATTTTGATGTTTCTGTTCTTAGTTAAGATGATAAGTGGAGGGTATATTTTGCAGGCTGGCCCCTCCTCCTTCTGTCCTTGTGGCTATTGGGAAATTTGCAAAGACCAGGAAATTTAAAGCCCATTTGCATCAAACCAAGGACCTGTCCCTTGCAATCCAATATGCCTCCATTCCTATGAGGTCACAGGCCTCTTTGTAGGCAGAGGACAATGGATTTCTCAAGGAGTCTTCTTGTTTTTGTATCAGGAACATTTTGGTAGGTGATGAGGTAGGTTCACAATGGACCAGGTCATTCCCAACCTCAGCCCAAAGCAGAAAGAGAGGTGTCCACTCTCATATAGAAAATGCATGTTGTGAAAAGGGAGTGGCTGATCAACAGGAGATTCTTAACTAGATGATCCACAGAATCTTCACCTATGCTTTCCATGAAGTCCAGTATTCACTTGGTTCATTGATTGTTTTCTGATCAGAGAGGATTTGAGGCCGTGAGCTAATCAAGACGAGATTCTCCAGGTATAGTTCAAAGCCTTCAAGACAAGTGACGTCTTTATTCTTTCAATGCCGACTGAAAGTGCCTTCCCATCAGTGCCTTTCTATCAGCAGTTTTGATGCATCATTTTAAAATGCAAAATGTAAAGGCTACGCAGCATGTGGGCAAATGTGTATGGGCCTAGTTTGGCTAAATGGGGTTTTCTCAAGGACCAATCTACATATGTGCAAGACCAAACAAGAAGGTATTTTTGATCAGATTCTGGAGCTGGCATTGGAAACTGCAAAGCCCAGGAGTTTCTAGGATGCAGATATGGCAGTTAAAGTGGAATCAGAGTGCTATAATTATATAGTGTGAATTGGCCCCTGAGCAGGGCTGGCGATGCTCTAAGGCAGTGGCAGGCAACCTAAGGCCCGGAGGCCGTATGCGGCCCCCCAAGGCCTTTGGACTGGCCCCAGGCCGGTCCTGCCGCCGCCACCACCACCACCACCGCCACCCCCCGCAGCCGCTGCTTCCCACCATGATACTGATTATTGTTATTATTACTTGTTCTTGGGGTTTTCTTGGCAAAATCTCCACAGGGGTTTTGCCATGGCTTTTCTGGGGCTGAGAGAGTGTGCATGCATATTTTTAATTTTTTAAAAAAAATTAATTGTCTGAGGGACAGCAACCCGGCCCCCGGCTCAAAAAGGTTGCCTACCCCTGCTCTAAGGCATGGCACATCAGTTGTCTTATTTCAGGCTGCTAACATAATGCAGAATACAGTCGCCCCTCTTTTTTCACAGACTTTGAGTCCACAGTCTTGGTCCTTCGCAGACTAGCAAGCCCCATTGGCTAAAATAGTGCGTAAACATGTGGTGCGCGTGCACAGCCATGTGGCTATTCAAGCTATTGGGGCTTGAATATCTGCGATTTTCCATTTTCGTGGGGGGTGGGTGTCCGGAAATGATCCCCTGCAAAAACGGAGGGGCAACTGCACAGTTTAACCCCATTTTAACTACCATAGTTCAATGCTATGGAATCCTGGGATTTGTAGATTGTTGTGGCACCAGAACTCACTGTCAGAGAAGGCTAAATATCTCACAGAACTACAAATCCCAGATATCCATAGCATTGCCCCATGGCAGTTAAAGTGGTATCAGACTGCATTCATTCTGCAGCTTAGATGCAGCGAGCCAAACTCTCTCATTTGTAGGACTGATGTAAACCAAAGGGAACTTGATGACAAATAACATCGAACACATACCTAATGCAAAGGCATATTAAGGGAAACAGCAAGTCTCTTGTCAACAAATGTTCCTTAAAAATAAATAATATTTCTAAAGGAAAGCCAGTGTGGCACAGTGGATTGAGCGTTGGATGATGAGTCTGGAGACCTGGGTTCGGTTCCCAACTCAGCCATAGAAACCCACAGGGTGACTTTGGGCAAGTCACACTCTCTCAGCCTCAGAGGAAAGCAATGGCAAGCCTCTGAACAAATCTTGCCAAGAAACCTCCATGATAGGGATGCCATGAGTCAGAAATGACTTGAAAGCACACAATGACAACAAACAAACGAGGGGAGAAGGGAAATTCTTATTGAATTGTAATTGCTACATAACTCCTGGACTTTCTCTCTTTTGCAGGCATAAGAGGATCACTGCTAGGAAAGATATTATTCCCATTTTGTACTGCACATCTGACTTTAGGCTGTATCCACACTGCAGAAACAATCCAGTTTGACCTCACTTCAAGTTGCCATGGGTCCATGCTATGGAATTCTGGGAATGGTAGTTCCTGGTGCCACAACTAACTACCATTCCCAGAATTCCATAGCATGGACTCATGGCAAGTTGAAGTGAGGTCAAATTGGATTGTTTCTGCAGTGCAGATGCAGCCTTCCGGAGGTCAAATAGTCCAAGGAAGTAACTAGCCTTCTCAGCCCTTAAGGGCTTTTCCGCGTTGCTTTTCTTTCTCTTTTGTCCCCTTTCGCTTGCCGTTTCCCGAGAGGAAGGCACCGCAAACAAAATGGCGGCCGCCGCAGCAGGGAACGCTGTGGACGTTCAGGCGCGATTTGGCCACTCGGTGAAAGGCCTACTGACTGAGAAGGTGACCAGCTGCGGCACAGACGTCATCGCCCTCACCAAACAAGTGCTGAAGGGCTCCCGCAGCGCCGAGGTGGGTAAGACTACGAGGACCAGAAAGCACCGCGCCGGAGCCCGACTCTAGCTGGGGGAGAAGAGTAGCGCAGAGCATGGTGGGGTTTGTAGTTTTTCTGTCAGCGCTGGCAGATCAGTGAGGGGGGGTTCTTTTGAGAAAGCTTTCAAAAGGAGCCCTGTTTGCCTTTTGCGGCATAAAAAGGGAGGAAGGGAGTGGGGAGGAATGTAGGAGCTCCTTTATTTGTGTATTTGATTCGATTTATACCCCGCCTTTCTCTCAAAATGGGATTCAAGGCAGGGTATAAATCAAGTAAAAAAATATATTAAATAATAAATTATAAATTATATGACGAAATAATAAATTATATTATTATTTATTAATTATAAACTGTGCAATATATACAGTTTTAAATTATTGTAAGCCGCCTTTCTCCCAAAATGGTATTCAAGGCGGGGTATTAATCAAATAAATACATTTATTAAATAATAAATAATAAATTATAGGAAAAATTATATTATTATTTATTATTTATAAATTGTGTAATATACACAATTATATATTATAAGTTTTAAATTATTGTAAGCCACCTTTCTTTCTTCCAAAATGGGATTCAAGACAGGGTATAAATCAAATAAATAAACTTATTAAATAATAAATAATACATTATATTAAATAATAAATTATATTATTATTCATTAATTATAAATTGTGTAATATATGCAATTATATATTGTAATTTTTAAATAATTGTAAGCCGCCTTTCTCCCAAAATGGGATTCAAGGCAGCTTACAATAATTTAAAATGTACAGTATATAACTGTATATGTTCTACAACTTATAATTAATAATTAATAATATAATTTATTATTTAATATAATGTATAATATAATATAATATATTTGCATTATATATAATTTATAATTAATTAATAAAAAAACTTACAATATATAATATGCAATTTAAAATTTACAATAAATTTGCTCTTAAATTATTTGCTCTTAAGAGTAAATAATTTACCTTTAAAAAGGGTAAAACTAAAACATTAATTAGAAAAAAATAATTAAATAATACTAGTTTTAAAACATGACAGGTAGGAACACAGCATTGCTAAAACCATTTAGAAAACAAAATTAAAAACATTAAACCATTAAAAAATAGCACACCAATAACTTACACACACTGCATTAGTAAAATTCACCAACCAAAAGCCTATTAAATAAGATTGTCTGACTAACTGGTTGTTGTTTTTAATTTTTGCATGAGCTTTCATGGCTATCAACCCACTTCTGAATTACCTCTATGAAAAAAAAAAATCGGATATCTGCTGGCCACCATTAAAATCTTGAAAAATCTGGATTCATACCTGTTACATAATGCTCAACTTTGGGGTTGCTCCCAGGAAAAGCATCACTTTGCCTGGCAGGGAGATTTTCTTTCTATGGGAAGGTGAATGAATTTTTGCTTCCTGACATCATATGATAAGAGATGTTTCTATCATATAATAGAAATCAAGAAGAAATCATCATGAATTTGGGACTCTTGTGTTATATGAAGTTGAAGCCCATGTAAAAGCATCCTGTGTTATATGAAGTTGAAGCCCATGTAAAAGCATGTGCTCACATTCATTCCTTGATATTTTATCGCTTTCCTTCTTGTTGTGTGCCTTCAAGTCATTTCCATTTTATGGCGACCCTAAGCCAACCCTATCAAGGAGTTTTCTTGGCAAGATTTGTTCAGAGGGAGTTTGGCTTTGCTTAAGGCTGAGAGAGAGTGGCTTGCCCAAGATCACCCAGTGGGTTTCCATGACCAAGTGGTAATTCGAACCTTGGTCTTCAGAGTCCTAGTCCAATATTGAAACCACTACAACACACTTTCTCTCATTGCTGTCCTAGTGTCCTTTTACTGATTTTCTAATCTTGTCTCCTTCCTCAAATGAAATTTAGAATGCAAGTACCTGTCCAGTTTTTTTTTTGTTTCTGTTACTTATGTTATTTTTTGCTTTGTTTGTTTATGTTGCTTATGTAAACTGCCATGTACCCTATAATAATAATAATAATAATAATAATAATAATAATAATAATAATAATAATAATAATATCAGTTCACTGCAATTGTCTGCTTATTTGATCTCCAGAACTGATCTCATAATTTGTAAAGTGTATTTTTCTTCTACATAGACAGTATGTCAGGACAGATTTTTCTGGGACCAAGTTACTTATTATTTTTGGATTAAATCTCACTTCATTAAGCCTGCAATTCTTTCATTTCAGCTGTTTAAATTCCACTGAAGCCAGTTTTGAGCAGGATTGCATCTTTGGTAATGAACAGGAAACTTGTATCCTTTACTGTGACTTTTGTTTCTTTAAGTTCTTAGGACAGGCTGCCAGAAACATGGTGATGCAAGAGGATGCCATCCTGCACTCTGAAGATGTAAGGAATGTTTTATAAATAAATAATTTACATTATGTAAATAAAAGTGGGTGCTTTCCCTGGTGGTGCTCATTATTTAGTTCTCTCTGGACTACAAGAAATACAGTTGTGAAATGCAAACAGATTTCAATTTCGAAACACTGTTTGCTTTTGCATTTTTCAAAGAGTCTGCATTAGTATGCTTGGGAATTCTTATTTGACACCATGGCCACTGGTCTATAGAAGTGATTTCCAGACTCTGGTCCTCTAGATGTTTTGGACTTCAGCTGCAAGAAGCTTCAGCCATTTTGGCCAATGGTCTGGGATTTTGGGAGCTGAAGTCCAAAACATCTGGAAGGCCTGAGTTTGGAAATCACTGTTCTACAGTGTCTCCTGGTGCTCAGTTTTGATGCACATGCAATTTAACATCCACATGAAACCCCTCAGGAGGCTATCCAAAGTTTAGCTGCAGGTGTCACCAGTACACTGGGTCCAGACTATCGTATTTACAAGACAGTATCTCCCAATATGAGCCTGTCTGCATTGTAAGATCCTTGAGGCAGGATTTTCTTTTGGTTGGACCACCATTACAGGCATGTTTGATGAGAACACAGCACAGAGCCTTTTTGTGGCTACTCCCAAGCTGTGGAATTCCATTCCATGAGAAGCTAGGTTGACCTCTTCTCTGCTTTCTTTTCGCTAGCAGGTAAATACCTTTCTGTTTATCCAGGCCTTTGACTGTTAACTGTCCACTGCAGAACAGAATTTAATTGGGGTGTGCTGTGGTTTTTAGCATCATTCATCATTATCCCTTAACTACCTTTTTGAATAGTTTCCAATTAATGTTTTTAACATGATTGTTTAATATTTGACTTTATTATCATCGGCTTAACTGTATTTTGTTTTAACTTACATTGTGATCTGCCTTGAGTCCCAGAATGGGAGAGGTGGAATTATATAATAAACAGTGTGTTTATTCATCACAGAAGCCTTGGCATTGATTTTCATGGTCAGGCTTAAAGAAGAACACAACAAATATGTGTCCTAGCAAATGTGGCTATATTGTTATCTAAGCCTGAGAACATTCCCAGCGTTGAAAGGGCTTTTATGTTTTTCTTTGAAGGGGACCACTCTGAGATATAATTTGAACCGTGTTAGAGAAAATGGCTGTTTTGTATCTGTATATTTTGTGGTAATGGTAAATAATTAGCCAATCTTTTCCTTTCAGTTTTGTTCATTAATACTGGAATTTGAATAATTAATCAAATGTTTTAGCCACATCGACAGTATCAGCCTACAGACTGGCAAGTAAGCTACCTTGTATTCAGCTTCCTGTTCTAAGAGGGAAATTGATCTCTCTTTCCTTCACCATGAACCAGGAGTATCAAGTAAATGGCACTGTGATCACATTTTTCATGAATTCATACAGTGCCTAGTGATAAACTCCAGCATGCAGTTGATGATAGATGGTGTGGTGGGTTACTGAAAGGTGTTTTCAGGGCTGTATGTTGCCCAGGCCAAGACTGTTCTTTTCTAAGTGTATTTATTTATTTATTTATTTATTGTGTTTCTTCTGAGATGGCTCTAGGGAATTTGGAATTTGAACACACAAGTATTAAATACTATGGTGTTTGTACATTCACAATGCTGTTTCCCCCATGCCCTAAAAGTGCTGAGTCTTTACTGAATGAGTCTTTACCTGAATTATGCAAGTTACATACAATGGCTAGGATTCTGAACTAGGGGCCTTTGCAGACTGCTAGAAATAGTGCAAATTGCCCTGGCTGAGTGCTAGGGAATCATGGGAATTGTATTTTTTTCTTAGACGTTGAACCTTCTCTGTCAGAGAGCTC